AGGACAACGGCGCCAGTGCGCTCACCACACACCAGCTACAGGTGGAGAGGAGAGAGAGTCATAGAGCCAATCAAGTGGTTGGGGATTATTAGGAGGCCATGATTGACAAAGGCCAGGATTGATTGATTGATTGATTGATTGATTGATTGATTGATTTTCCCTTCGATTGCAATATTCATTTGTAATGCTTGATGATGTTTATTTTAATTTTATTTTATTTTGTCTCGCTTGCTTACTTACATAAGCGTTGTGGCAAATTAAAAGTAGCAAAATTCTAGCTGTTATTTTAGTATGGCATTTGCTGCCGTTTATTTTTGCAGGTACAGTTGTTATAGACTTTGTTCCCAACTTGCAAGTTTAATTGATTTTGTCAGTGACCTTGCCTCCTAGCATCTCCAAAAGCACGTCAATTTGCGTAAACAAACGTCTCAGGTTACTTATGTAACCATGGTTCCCTGAGTAGGGAACATTTACAATGAGCAAAGTTTACTGTCATGGCCAGATAGGAACAGCAATCTATTCACAATGAAAAATAAGACAATCCAAGACTTACCTCGCCAAAAAGATAATAATAATAATAATAATAATAATAATAATAATATTTTCGCATTTGTACTTATGATATGTAAGTTATTTCACTGACAAATGCATCCTGATATATTTCACCCACAGGGCATATTATTAAACCAACAGGGTGAGTTTAGTAAAATTGGAACATCAGGTAGACAATGCATTTTATGATTGATGTTGATTGTTCTTTAAATGTTTAGAAACATTCAAATGTAACAGTTGTTATTAATTTTCACACAGATCTTTTTTTATTCAGTTTTTGTTTTGGCCTGACAGCATGATAGTGGTTTTGATCAATGTAGTACATTTAAAAAATAAATACATAAATAAATAAAACGTTATTTATACATTTTATATAGTGTTACATTGTATAGTTATGGTCTTTAGCTCACAAAAAAAAATAATCTGGATGATGAATCAGCTGAACTAGTTTTAAGGCCAGAATTCATCTAGTAGATCTTGGTAAAGTTAGATAGAATGGGTAAATTTTTTTTTTTGTAATTCTTGAATTGCAGTCAACATATCTGCATTAATTCATTTTTTTTTTCCATTCATTATTTACACCACTGTAGTGTCTTCCACTATTTTTACCTCATGTTATTATAAAAACGTAATATTGGCACAGGCCGAATAGTTTACTGCAGCTAATATGACCCAGGGACCTTGGGAATGTCATTTAACCTAAGAGACCTTAAAAGAATAAAGGAAATGGATGTGAAATCCCACAAAATAGGTCTGGTGCAGGGATGAAAGAGAAAGCATGCATGCTTCACTACTCCTTAGAGACATTAAAAGCGATCGGCGGCTGATAAAGAGAAGTAGGAAAGTCGATAGGAGACTGAGTGAAAAGAAAAGCTGAAAGGTTAGTGTGAAAATACACAAACACTCCGGAAACAAAGCAGGTGTCCAAAGGGCCGATCACTGAATCACAAAGAAAGCAAGAAGGATAAAAAGTTAAACAGGTAGCATGCTGTAGAAATTATATAAATAGATGAAAGACAGGAAAGGACTGGCTAAGGTAAAGCTGAATAATTGATAATAACTAGCTTGTGGAGTGTCAGATGTGGGGAAAATGGAACAATAACACATTCAAGGCTCATCTGTAAGTCAGTTGTAAACAAAACATATATTCTGTGTCAAATCACATTCTGTGTGTCGGCATGAAATAAAAATTAAACTTATTGAACCGGTGAATAACACGTATCTTTTCACAATCCAATCAACAACCAATGGATAAAATGTGCTTTATTTATGTATGTATGTATGTATGTATTTTGTTATTTTATTTTTTTATTCTGAATACGCACATTGCCTCCGTACTATCATTAGACAGCAAGTAGGGTATTTCTACAATGGAATTGCTAACTTTTTTTGCTTTGAGTGATGCTGCATCTAAACCAGACACTGTTGTATCACTTATTTGGGAAGATGAATAAGAATTAACAAAGTATAAAAAACATAAATAACATTGATTGACTGATTGATTGATTGATTGATTGATTGATTGATTGTAGCAAAAACCAGCTGTTTAGCTGTGACTTTGTTCCACCACCGTCAATATGATAAGTCTTAAGTTGTCAGTGTAGATATCTGAGCATACTTTAAAAGACAATTATGAATTAGGGTTATGGGCACACTTATCAATCCTCATTTTATGAGAAGCTGTAGCTTAATTGGCAGCGTGGTTCCTAGCCCTATTACTTTTTATTACAATAACCAACCTTGCAGATTTAGGGTGGTAAATACTATATAGTCAGTGGCCATTATTAGATTATACAACCTTTTGCTGGATCTAATTTCAGCAACCAGTTTGAGGATGACAGTCATAAATGATTTAATCACATCTATAATACAAAATAAAATGAACAATGAATAGGTTTGCAGCTAAGATTGCAACTAATATTGAAATCGGGCATTAATGTACCGTCATTTGCATACGGTGATTGATTGATTGATTGGTTGATTGATTGATTGTACTGCACTTTACAAAACCTACCAAACAGTACTTTTTTTTGCTTGTTTTTGTGGAACTTCTGAAAATAGTTTTCTTATATCATTTGATATCATGTCAGTGTATTTCTGTAAGATATATAACTTTTGTGTATGCAAACAGGTCAGGAAAGTTTCAGACATCGTACAGTTCACAGTGTGGAGCAGTCACTGCAAATCACTCAGACCAAAACCGACACTGCAGCACTGCCTCAGGGCATTATAGATATCAATCATACATGTACACATGGATCAGTGAAGGAGGGCAGTTGTGTGTAAGGTGTCTGCTGCCATGTTAGTGATCTGTTTGAACAGCCACAGCCCTTAGGCTGAACAACTTGTCAGTATCTCTTTTGTTTTACATATTAGATCCAAACTGTGCTGGTCTTCAAATGTGCTATCTGAAGCAAACTCGTATGGATGTTTGCCAAGATCCAACCCTGATTTTTCTAGAACAGTGACTCTCAAAACTGATAGTCTGCAAAGGATTGGCTGATTTGTAAAAAAAAAACTAAATGCAAAGTAATTGCAAAACACACACAGACACACACACACAAATGCAATTCACTAATCAAGACATAACAATGAGAAAACAGACTGTGTTAACATTTATTTTATGAAAGTGTTTTCATTTTACTCCAGTAACGTAACTCTTACTAGTTACACTATAGTTTAACTGGTTGCTTATTGGCATGCCTATTATCAACATTTTGGCTGTTTATTAGTACTTATAAAGCACATATTCTGCATGACCATATTCTACATCTCTAATCCTACCCAATAACTAAACTTAACAAGTACCTTACTAACTATTAAAAAGAAGCAAATTAGAAGTTTCTTGAGGCAAAGGTCGTAGCTAGTGAGATTTGGACCTTAATAGTGAGAATTGGTCCCTAAACTAAAGTGTAACCCTCTTAGTTACTGTATATGTAGGGCTGCGTTTTGACACAAATTTCACGATTCGATTCGATTCTTATTCACAAGTTTGTGATTCGATTCGATTACCAATTCGATTCAATGTCGATTATTTTGGATATATATCAGGTACAGTACATGCCAAATTTTCTCAAGGAAAAAAATCTCTCAACTAAATATGCATGAGAGTCAGTTGGTACTACATTAAGATAA